CCCACGTACCACAGCGATGCTGCAATGCTTAATGAGGCTTTTAAACAACCGCTTTGTAGAGTTGCACTAAAGTAAAGTGGGTGGGCTGTCATACGTCACAGGTAAGATTTTAGGATGTTTATTACTGAGGTGGCTCATTTTGCTTTTTGCTTTTCTCATAAGCTAATAACACTCATGCGCCAACATCACTTGTACAGCTCCTCTGAAAAGGAGCCCGGCGTTGTAAATCCACCACCCTTCAATAAAAAATAAAATAAAATCAATTTTCAAAAGGAGCTCGACCAGCTTTGCTGGCAGCAAATCAGTCAGTTCCACGAGGCCCCCACTGAAGTCTGCAGTAAGTCAGCACATTTGGTAAATCGAAAAACTGATGCAGAAACAAAACCCTCAAGTTACACTGGATCAGGGTGGGCCCTGGCAGACGGGGCGGCTCACCTCCTCTGTCCCAGGAACCGCCACCTGTGGCCGCCACGGCCAAGACCACGGCAGGTGTGGGGACACTCGGTACACGGTCTCCTGTCACAACTCAAAATACCCGTTGTTGAGGTTTATGGGGTGGCACGGGAGTACTTAAATAAAAATCACTTCTATGAATTTAGTTTGTTGAGAAAGTAGTTGATACGTTTGCTTGAAATAAAATGGTGAAAATGACTACTCTCCTCGCTGCATCTGATCCCAGGTGTTTCCAGGGCTTGGCTCTCCTGTGGTCCGTTACATCACACGGCCTTAGCCCCAGACCCGGCAAGCTGAAGCAAGTGTTTACAAGGCACAGGTAGGCTCCTGTTGCTAAAACACAAACAGGAACATGGGACAGGTCTAATCAAAGCACAAGAAAGCAGGTGTTTGCATCATGAAAAAAGAGGGTGCTGGAAAGGTTTCCACTGCAAACTTCTGTCATCAGAGACTAGAAACTGTAGACACGGCTTAAAGGAAAAAACTGTGGAAGAAAAGAAGGAAGAAGGGTGGGAGGGAGGAGGGAAGGAAAGGAAAAGTAGGTGAAAGAAAAAGAAAAAGGAAGCGCAGGCTGTGCTTATAAACAGTCTGCCTCCTAAAGGCCCGGCGTGCACAGCACGGCGCAGTCAGCTGCACGGGGTAAACGCCTGCCCGAGTCCCCACCTCCCCGCCCCCGGGCAGGCCCACAGCTCTTGAGAATCAGGCAGGGAATGGCTCTCAGTGTGGGGGCTATAAAGCCCTGGCATCAGGGTCCTGGATCACTAGGGAAACACATTAAAAACGAAGATTCTCTGTCTCTGGGGGTGGAGTATGAGAAGGTGCACTTATAACCAGCACACTCAAGTTAGAAAAACACTAATTTAGGAAAAGAAAAAAATTACTTACAAGACAAAAGTGGCCCTTCCTTTCCCATCTTCCTTCCCCTCCCCTGCCGGCACAGAGGAAATGGGGCTCGGAGTCTGGGGCAGTGGAAGGGTGGAGGTGCCAAACAGGTGTTCCCAGGCCAGACTTTCTAAAGAAGTGGGCACCGGGGGTGGTCAGAGGCCAGTGAGAATGGTTGGGAGATTGAGAAGATTGAGCAAAGGCACTAACTGAATGCATAAATTAACATACTGAGGATAAAGGGAGCCAGGATTCTTGTTGTCTTAAGAGGGGATACATCAACATAGAAAGGGAAAGGCTAGGACTGGATTAGAAATAGAAGTGTTAGTATGGACACATGTGGTTTTAAAACAGACACAGACACAGACACAGACACAGCTGTAGATGAATGTGGACGGACGGATGCATGGACGGCACCTACGTACACGTTCCCTGACTGTCTGCTCAACACCTCCCAATCAAATGAGCACCCCTGAATACCTGGATCTTTGCTTCTAAATACCACCCAACACTACAAGGAACCAGAACCTCTTAATGAGACAGCTGACCTCAGGGTGAGACAGGGAAAGAACACAATGAGCCTGGGAACATCCTGCTATGCTAGAAAGTAATACTCAAAAAATGATACAGACAGATCAAAACAACACAGAAAGGGGCTCCTGCAGGCCGAACGTGGACAATTTAGGCATCGAAAGAGAATACTGGATTATAACTCGTTGAATATAATGAGGTTTGATAAATTCATACTGAAATTAAAAATTAATAAATAAATGGGGAAGAAAGGAAATAAAGTTCCCCCTTACAGCAGATCACCTAATGAATATAGAAGGAACGATGGAAATGAGTGCCCACGATCAGACGGCCATCACAGTGAAGCTGACATGGCAAGAATCACCAGTGGACGCCAAGGTCGTGCGGAGTCCGATGAGTTACAGACATCGTGTTATTTCAGTACGTCCTCCCACAAACTGCTCATCAAAGACAAAACTTTAATGGTGATTTTACACTGGAGAAATCTTACAGACACCAACCTCACCAGGCGGCCTAGGTTAACACCATCAGTTGTGGGAGGGGCAGCATCCCAGGACCCACGGCCCCAGTCAGCCCTAGAAAACTGGATGGGCCGGGAGGTCGTGGGTCATCCTACAGAACGGAAAGCCTGTACTCTCTGAGACTGTCGAAGACACCAGGCAGAGAAAGACTAAAGAACGTTCCAGCGTGAAGGAGGCCGACGGCTGGTAGGATGCTTGTGTTGTGTCAATGGCCATGTGATGGCTGGAGAGAGAGACGGGGGAAAGGGCGGAGCAAATGTAGGAACATGTTAAAAACTGGGCAATCTGCTCAAGGGAATGTGGACACTCTCTGCTCTCGCACTTTTCTGTGGCCTGAAACTATCTTGAAATTTAAATAATTTGAAAGGCCAAAAAAAAAAAAAACCCCTACACTCTTACCTACTGGAAGTCTTCTCTGTTCAGCCAGTTCTAACCACTGTCTCCTTGAATCTACAGCTCAGTTGCAAACATGTTCTTAGGCTAAAAGTTAGGGTTTAAGACCTCAGCCTGGGAAGTTATTTATTTGCCGTTAAATTATTTTAAATTATTATTACTATCTTAAAATCTAATGAAACTGCACCATAGGTAAACCTCAGTTCCTGTGTCAAGATGCCCCATTTTTATAGAAGGTAGTAGAAACAGGGAGAGAATTCTGTACTTGGCTAGACGTGCAGGCAAGCAGACAGACTGGTCACCAGGCCAGAGGATGATACTGGTCAGGGCAGATTGAGTCTGAGGTAGGTCCCCCATCCTGCCAATCACCTTGCGTGTGAGCTGTTGGATCCCACAGTGGTCTGGAACCTACCACTGCAATCAAAACACAGCTCCCAAGAAAATCACTAGTAAGCAGATGAGTGAAGGCCTGGTTGCACCATGGATAACAGGGTCATCCATCCACTTTCTGCGTCAAAATCGGACGACACACAGGGATAGAACACTAGGGCAAAGAATGTAACGTTTTCTGGAACTCACATATTCCTCATGAATCAACATGATAAAAAATTACAGACCTCTTCAATTTTCACTTTTACTGTTAAAAAAGTTACCACTTACATAGTCCCTAATAAACTAGATAACCAAATTAGCTAATAAACACTGGGTGCAAAACTCAGAAGCACAACACAGAGTTGACGACTGTTTAAATTCCATGACAACATAAAGTCATGTTAAAAAGCTGACTATACTTCAATTAAAAAAAATGGTAGGGGGGGATCTTGTTAAGCAAATAGGTGTCTAGAGAAACAAACATGTAGATATCAACTCTTATGGGCAGAAGGTTTGACCATATTCTGAAACAAGTACTGTAGTTCAGTTCACCCATGGACACAAAGGCGTCAGGAGACTAGGTCCAAGGACATGAGAGTGACAGCTGTTTGGCGAAGCAGGATGGGCCAGATTGAAGAGCAAATGATCAAATAACTTTGACGAGTGTGGCTGTGGTTCAAATCAAGGAAGAGCTGGATTTAAATATTTGTATTCAAATATAGTTGTCCCTTGGTAATGAGGGAGAATGGTTCTAGGACCCCCCATGGATACCAGAATCAGTGGATGCTCAAATCCCTTATATAAAATGGTGCAGCACAGTTGGCCCTGGAGGCAGAACCCGGGGATATGGAAGGCTGACCACACAATAACACCTACCTACTCTGTGCCCAGGCCTCTTCCAGGTGGTTTGAAACACTTTCTTACCAAGGCCTGACAGTAATCTTTCATATCAGCCTACAGTACTATAGATGCTCACAATAGATGCAGAAAGCATGTAGGCACAGAATTCTGACCCACCCACACTCACCTCCAGGAACTTAACCAGCATCGTCAAGGCAGACTGGTCTGAAGGGCTAGGTGACCATGACGTGGACAAGAGTGTCACGCCTGGACCCATGTGTATTTGTCACCACTGCATCTAGCAGGTGATAAGGCACAAAGGCAGCCTGCCTGGGTTGCCATCCCCACTCCGCCTCCTACAGCTGCTGACCTGGCCCAAGTCACGTCACTGCCGTGCCGAGGTACCTCGTTCATAACAGTGGGGTCAGTAAGAGGGGTCAGAGTCGGGGGCGTTTAATAAGTGATTTACATACTGTCCTTACGACAAAGCCTGGCATAGAAGGTGGCAGAAAATAAAGCACGGATACGTTAAATAATTAATTTACCCTAAAATAATAAAACACCCCACTTAGATTCCTAAAACCACAAGCAGCTTGAAGAAACAGTGTGTGCCTCGCTACCCAGAACACAGGCTGCGTCAGCTTCCCTTTTTTCTAGAAAGTTTCATTCAAGAAGATTAAACTGGGTTTGACTGGACTGAATAGCATACAATATACATATTTCCTAAATACAAGTAGGTAAGATTAAAATTTCATTCATTTTAACAGATAGAAATCTAAGCACTCTAAAGAAAATCCACAAATGTCACAAGTTTGCTTTCTGCCTCCACCCCGTTTCACCTACTATCCTTCCCCCCGTTCCCCTCCCATTCGAGTTCAAAAGTTACCAGGAAACTGCAGTTTTAACTCGAAACCTGTAAGTTCTTTTCTAGTTTTTTAATTTTTTGCAGCTTTCAGTGCTACGACACAAAAACAGTGCTGCTTTCCACTGGAAGAACTGACCACGCACCTCGGAGTAAGCCAGGGTGATGTGCTCGTAGATGCCCTGGTGGTGATGGATGGCGTCCTCCAGATCCTGCAGCTCGGAGGGAAGGTCCACCTCGCCACACGCTTTGCACCATGAGTCCACGTTGCTCATATACTTGGAAGGTTAAAAAAAAAAATCATGTCTATCAACAGTAATTGACATTGATAGGTGGCTATTTTTTAACGTGGTGTTGAAATAAGGGTGGTTGAGAGAGTGTCAAACAGCAGAGCATGGTTGAGTCTCCACCTCAAATGGCATTAATGTGAGTCCTCAGACCAGATTCCTGGACCCTGAGGCCCCATCCTCACCCCCAGCTGAGGTTCTGGCAGGGCGGGGGCTGGGCCCAGGAATCTGCATTTGAAACGCCAGCCTCAGGGGACCCTGTGTCACACCTGGGAGCACCTCTGCCCCTCGCTAGCTGTGTGGGGCATCCTGGTTAATCCTCCCATCCCACCTTTGAATCCGCGTGTCCACCTGCCTTCATCCTCAGCTGCACAGCAAGGGGCCCTCCTGCTTCCCTCTTGTATTAAAATGGTAATGGGGTGGGGGGGTCCAGGCACCTGAAATCATCTACCTATCATCAGGAAGAGCAGGGGGTCCATTTTTCTACCTTTTCAAAAGTAAATGCACACAGGAATTAAAAGAGACCGAGTGAAGGGGGCCTAACTCTCTCGGCTGTGCCCACTGGAAGGACGCGGAGGCTGAGGGCAGCATGGAGTCACTGGGGTCGTCTCACTTTGCCTGTAAATGAGAAGAGTATGGGCTGCAGGCTGTGGTCCTGGGCCACTGCCACCATTCTAATCACTCAATTTTCTCCGCTGCCACCCCCACATCCCAGGATTCATTAATAGCTGAGAAATCACTGCCAAATTTCCCAGGGTGACCCTATGAGCACCCATCACAGGTAAGTGTCCAAGGCAAGCAGAAGGCCCAGTGAAAGACGTTAACTCAGTTAAGTCAAACAGACACGGACACAATTCCCTGGGTTTCACTTTCGTACTCTAGGTCTTCCCCGTCTTTCTACTTATCACCGAATGCAGAGGGTGACTATTTAAATGGGGTAACTGACCTGCCAGGCAAGAGATGTGCTATGATTCTCTTGACACTCTAGGACAGACCAGTCACCCGAGTAATAACTGTCTGTAAAAATCCCTTTATTATTAATGCATTGGCTCAGAAGAATATCTCTATACAAATCTTAGGGCTCGAAATCAATTCACATGGCATTGAGTGTCATCTGATAGCATGTGGTTTCTTATGACTTCAAACAGGACTAAACGGATGCAGGCACAGCGGTGTCCTCGTTACCCTCCCCCCCACCATGCCTCCCTAACAAGGCAATGGAAGTACCAATAAAATTATACCTCTCCCCCTCCGCATGTATCATGTATGACTACTTAAGCATATTTTTAAGTATTTCTTGGGTGTCGTTCTATAAATAAATGTCAGTTAGGTCAAGTTGATGATTATAAGTATTCTGGATCTCTGTTTCACTCTATCTTCTTCCATTATTGCCTTTAACACTGATTATTAAATTATTGTAAACCTTTTTCAAACATGAATTGACTGAGGTTAACCACCATCATTAATAAATCATCAATCAGGTCAAGCCAGCAATTAATATCTCCTGCTCACTGGCCACTGCAAAACGCCCAAAACAGAGTTGCAACCTGTTAAGAAGAGGTTAAAATGCTTCTGAAATAACAAGATGAAAAGAGGTTTTAGTTGTATAATACTTCACAACAAGCAGACGTGTCAGACTAATATATTATTGTATCAAAATGACTGCTCAATATATTCAACCCCAATTCTTGAAGCAATCAGTAAAGAAACAATCAAGCAGTTTTATGAATACCTGTAGTAAAAGTAACCTATCTATAACTTCTCAAAGTATCCTGAGAGGTAGTGATTATATTTACCTGCAAAAATGTAGGTAGGTTTTAAAAACACAGGGCAGGGTAGCTTATAAAATGGAAATCTTGCGGGAAAAAGGATTCTGCACATGTAAACTCACGGGGCTAAAGCATCCCAAGGACAGAAATAAACCTGGCCATGGTTTTACAGGGACTCTGGCACAAGCATGATTTTTGTCTTTCATTTATGAGATGGCAATCCTTGCTCCAAAGGGCAAGCTCCGGGCCCTGAATGCTTCCTGAAAGCCTGAACACCCAGAGGGTCTGAAGCCAAGGCCACCAGGGCAGCAATCCCCATTCAGAGAGCAGAGACAGAAGATGTTAGCAGGCATTCTGCAAAGGAAAAGAATCCTGGGGTCAAGTTTGGTGTCAAAGCTCAACAGGGACGTATAGAACAGAATCTCCCAGAGCCTCTTAATATGACAGTGTGCACTGTGAATGCAGTGAGGGGAAGCTGGTGTATCTGCTTAAAAACCTGTCCGGCCACTCTGCTACACTCCCCCTCCACACAGACACCTCTCACAATCTTGACAAATACAGGCTGGGGTCGCAGCTTCAGGGGACACGTCGAGCACAGAGCATGATACACTGGGGAGGACGATGACAGAGGTGGCTGCTGAACTCTCGTGGGGCCAGGGCACCGGTTTAGTCTCCGATGCTTTACATGCTCAAATGTAGACCAAAATATGTGAACACACAGCATCTGGCCAGAATGGGGGCAGAGGCAGAAGAGTGCAAGGGCATCTGAGGCTTCCCCATCAATTCAGATTAGGAGCCGGCTTCAGACCTGGGGATTCTGCTCACAGCGGAATGGTCACTCGGGTGCTGCTCAATCTAAGAGGAAAGGAGCCTGGGCCAACCGGTTTGCAAAAGTGAGGCAAGAAGACAGGGCGAGCGATTAACACACAAGCTTTAAAAAGACAGCCTGGATAACTAATTAGCAGACTTATCTTCAGAAGCATTTATTCCACTACTCTCCATCTGCTGAGAGTGGGGGCGCCACCCGGGCTCGCTCTGCTGGGACCCTCCAAGCTAGTGAGTTTCACACCCACCAGGAGCTCCCAACGGAGCATCCGCTGAGCGCAGGTGGTTAGTCTGATTTCGGAGACAAAGGGACCGAATCTTCCTAGAATGTAAATGTTTAAAACACTTATTAGGGGGATTTTTCTCCTCTTTGGAAAAATTAAGACTGGTTGAATTACATACATATATTATATATGAATTCAAACTTCAGAGTTTCCTTTCTTATTTCCTCATCTTCTGCTTTCATTTCTAAGAAATAACAATGCTATTTTTTCTTTTTATTCCATCATTTCTACTCCCTGAATATTAATAAGCACACTCTCTTCTCCTTGTTCCTTTACAAGAGATGAGCTCCCTTCTCTGCTCAGCAACATTACAGGAGGGGTGAAGCCTTTTTCACTTGTGAATCCAGGTCTGACCACTCCAGCCCAGTAACCTGGAGAAGACAGGTTCAACCTGAACCAAAATATGCAGTGATCACTCTAAGAATCTTACATCTGTTTTCATTAATACCTTCTTCTTTCATACATGCATATGTATATTCCAATTCCTGTTATATGAGAATCTTGTTTTTGTTCTACTATAAGCCAAGAATTAGACCTTTACTTGTAATAATGTGAAACGACATTACAACAGGAACAATTACAAGTGTAGTCTTTGCCTTAGAAGTGCAAGAGGGAATACTGCAGCAGTATTCGTGCTATTTTCCTATAAATTTTAACCCAGACTTAGGATAAAATTTCCCAGATGATACCATTATACATTTACAGTAAATGTTAACTTCTAATATTTTGTATGGAAAGTGAAATTTTAGAAGAAAATTCAGGTAAATGCTCTGTTTGTGAAATAGTGTACAATTATGTCAGGACAAAAGACTTTCCTAGACCTCAATGAAAGCCCCAGCGGGGGCGAATCACCCCCCAAAGAGAACACAAGGTCGGTGACAGCACCAGCCCCAGCTACTCCACTGGGTGCTTTAAGGATGAGACGAGACTGCGTGTTACGGAGCTCTGTCACTTGTAAAGAACAACACAATCCTGCCTGCTGTCTTGTTTTTGGCGATTGTCAGATTACAGACCCTTCGAGTCATGGACAGAATGAGGTGCTCAGATCTATGGTTCACGCTGAAGGCCAACCTGCACCAGCGCTAGCAGAACCTCCTGCAGTTATGGAAACGCGCAGCCGTCCTGCCCAGGACGACGGCCACCAGCCACCTGCTGCTACCGACTATCTGAAATGTGGGTACTGTGACTAAGGAAGTGCAGCTTAACTGAATTCAATTTTTAAATTATTTTATTAACAAATTTTATTGAACTTGAAAGTGCCTTCAATAGCCACACATGGTGACCGGCTACTATACTGGACAGCGCAGCTCTAATAATTTTTTTTTTAAATAGTAAAAATTGGAGATTTTAAGGTGTGGTAAAATCAAGTCACTTTAACTCCTGGATTTATTAAAAGGTAATTCAAATAACATTTGCAATGGAAGCTTCTTAATATAAAGAGATATAACACATGACCAAAAGAAAAAAAAAAAAAGAGGAGGCTGGACCCCTAAACATCACCTCTGGGTAAAACCACCAGCTCTGTGGCTGTGCTCCCAGATCAGCAGGCTGATGCTCTGACCCAGCACACACCTCACCAGGGATGACAGTGTGAGAGTAAAGGAACGGCCAGCACGTCACTGGATGTGTCATCCTCATCCAGTTTTAACCTGAAGATGTGTATTTAGAAAACCACATGCAGACACCAACACGAGAACACCCGCAGAGCCAGGGGGGCGGGCGGGCGCTCAGCACGCTCACCTACAAAGCTATCAGCTGTCACCCTTCCAGGACGGCTGCTGCCTTTACTAAGACCATTAACCACACAGTCCCACAGCTGACCCCTACGTCCCCTAATCAGATTTAAATTCTTCATGGCACTCTGGATGAAGTTCAAAGGGTGGCTATGATGGAAACCTAACTGATGAGGTCCAAGTTCTGGGCCTTTCCCAACTGAGTTTATGAAAACAGCTTCAGCGTAACTAGAACGCAAAGTATTTAAACAGAGGAGACAAAGCTGACCTCTTCCTGGATCCCTCTCTTGGGAAGAGGAAAACTCCTCAGCAGGTGTGATCTCCTTCCATGGATCCGAATTTCAGTCAAGGGGAAGATACGCACTACACTTGAACCTGAGGGTAAATACTTCCAGGAGCTGCCCAGAGGTCCCACCTGCACATTTCAGTTGCCTGGTGCAGGCCGCACTGTCTGTTCCATCAGTGTCCGTCAGAGATGTCAGCCTTTCTCACTAGCCCACCCTGTCTCTGAGGTCACACATACCTGGCTTCTTCTCTGGCCACTGATACACATGGAGACCACAAGCTCTGTCAGAGCTCACGTGGGACAACACGTTCAGCATGTATTTATCTAGCTTCGTTTCCTTCAAACTCGTAACTTACAGCCATTCAATCTTATCCAAATAAAAATACCCAGGCTCTTTTGACTTTGGTGTGTGTTTTAAATTTTTGATAATAAAACACTGGTGGGGGGTGCCTCATGGCACCCAGATTTCTATATCATTTTCAGACAGGTCAGAGCAGCAAGTAATCTTCTGGGTTTATTTGCAATTCTGAAGCCTGCCATGTCTATGAAAGAGACTTTCTCTATGTGTTATTATGCTTCAGATGACTTGCCATTCCTCCAAGCAGCTTGTCCTACTTCAAATTTATTTACATCATCCTAAGGGACCCTTCTGAGGGCCCGTTCCCAACGTACACATGTCCATGCCCACGCCCAGGGGGTTGCGGTACCCCCTACTATGTTACAATCCAGATGGCAGATGAGCCAGGACCACACAGCTCATCTCCCACTCACAACAAAGTCCAGTGAATACATCATGATCTTGACAATGACAGGGACCAGAGGTGAATGTAGACAGTGCCGTTTCATGCTGAAGGGGGATCTTGCCACTTTAAAACAGACTGTTTTGTGTGGGGGGCTTTTGTTTCTCTTTTATTACAAAACTAGTTACAGGCACAAGGTTAGTAAATAGAAAAATCTTACCACTGAAACCCGGGAGTTCCCACTCGCAGCCTTCACAGGAGGCTATTAAGATTTTCCCCTCTCCATCCCACTCCGTTTCCTCTCTTGCTTCACACTGTAAAGGTTTCTAGAGCTGAGATCACTACTAATTAGTGTCTTGTGCAACATTCCAGCAGCCTTGCCAAGATCCCAGGCAAGCTGGGGCCTCGACCCTCCTGTGTCTTCACTCCCCAGTGGAGACTATTTCTAGACTAAAGGGTTACTATTCCCTTCTGAGAAGCATCATTGCAAACCCCTATGAACAGGGGGTTTTTCCCCCAATAAATTATCCCTGAGGAAGCCATATTAGCATTTTTCCTTCTAGTGAAGGCAACCATGTGTCTCTTCCTCCTGTCTTTCTAGTCGCTGGAAGTTCCTGTGCTCTATCTTTCTTCACGTCTTGAAAAGGTGTTTCACTGCCCAGCGCACCTTCTACCACTAGCGTCTGGGTCACAAGTAATTCACTTTCCTTCTGCTGTTTTCCAAGCGTGTTCATTTCAGCAGGTTGCTTGTCTGTGGGAGTGTGGAGACTGCTGGGGGCACACATCACACACTACCTCTGAAATATGGTAACATGTCCAGCACACCAGCGGGTGAAGCCCATGTGAAGCCCAAATCCATGCAACGAACCTCATAATCATGAAAGACACCGTAAACCGTCTGTCTACCCAAAAGCCACTCTTCTACCCTGGCCCTTGGTGGCAGAGTCTGCCTCTGCAGGGGAGGCTGGAAAGCTAAACCCTCCCTCTTCCACCCTCTCCTGCAGCCAGGGTGCAGGCGTGCACCCCCCTCCTGGCCCAGGGAACTGAGGGTAAGCATGCTGGGCTGCAGGGACCTTATGCCCTGATGAAAGTGACAGGAACAGACACCATCACCCTTGCATGCACTGGACACAGCGGTTGAGGGGCTGGTGCTGGGAGCGGTGGCGCACACCCAGGACTGCCAGGCCAAGAGCAGACCCAGCCCTGGCGTCATCACGAGGCTACAACTCCCTGTGCTTTGCAACTTCCTGTTCTATGAGAAAAGAAAACCCCTGAGGTTTAAGCCTGACCTCTAGGCATTCTGTTACTTGCTGCCCAAGTGTCCTAACTGGGACTCTCGAGTGACGATCCCGAGGAAGAAGCGGATCGGGAGGAGGGAGGAGGCGGACAGAACAGCCTCAGGTACGGATTATCAGTGCTCGCTGCGCACCAGCCACCATGCAGGGCACCTAACGCGAGTTAACTCATTTACACCGTAAAACTGCCCCTCAAGTAGGTAATTGTATTTCCACTTTACAAATGACACAAGAGAGGGACAGAGGGGTGAAAGAAGAATGTGAATAAGGTTGCACAGCAGGGGTGAGGGAGCTGGGGCTGAAGCACAGCTGGCCGACTCAGAGCTCCGAGGGCCCTGGAGGACCAGCCGCGTGGATGGGGGGTGCTGGGGCAGGAGGGGGCTGGGGCGGGGGTGCCGAGCACTAACCTTCTCGGCCTTCTGGTGGAAGACGGAGGACATGTCCAGCAGGGTGCTGCGCTCGTCCAGGGCGGCGGCGAACGCCTTCCACTCCTGCTCCAGCTGATTTGCGATCTGCTTGATCTGCTGGGAGGCGTAGTGGCCCGACTCCACCAAGCGGTTGGCCACCGACATGATGCGGTTTATGTTGACGTACACGTTCTGCGAAAGGGGCAGAGAAAGAGGGCTCGTCCGGGGAAGGCACGCAACGGGCATCTCCCCGAGGAATGTGGACTTAACACCTCCGCTTTGGCAGCAGAATCACCTGGTGGAGAACAGGACACGCGTCTGCTGTCTGGACTCCACACACTCTGAAGTTCTGCCTTCAGCTGCTATTTTCAAACTGCAAACTTACAAATCAACTAGCAGAGAGCAACGCTGTTAGGCACAAGGCAATCACACAGAAGCAGGTGCACACGAATGGACCAAGACTCGCTTCCTGGCCTCCAATCCTGAAAAGGGTCCAGATGGCAGGCGGTCACCCAGAACCACGGGAACCTGTCACTGCAGTTGGTAACTAGAACCCAGACACTACAAACTCTGTACTTAGCAACCAAAGGCTATTTCGTGTGAAAACAAGCTCTCCTTTCTGCATAAACCCAAGTCATCTTCCTGGTGCCAACAGAAAATCTTCTATAAATAAATTCACTTTCACCAAGGGATATGAATTGGGGCAGGAACAGAACAATGCTGTGTTCAAACTTTCAATCAAGCTCTTCACCTCTGCTGAAATCTCTATCTTCAAGTCCACTAGTGTACTCCAAACATAAACGGGCAAGGCTTTAAAAAAAAAAAAAGCACTCTTCTTACGAAAGTTCTCACTATGGTATTTCCCTTCACACCTGCATTCTTCTTTAAGGTCACATGACGTAAGGGGTGGGGTGGGGAACGCACACTTTCAACAAATCCCAGGATGGTGCTCTTCATGCATTCATCAGCTATTATTTCTGTGAGGCATTGCAACACTGCACCTCGCAATGGGTCTCCCCAAATCACAGACTAATCTTTAGCTCCTTCCAGTCTTGCCCCTAAGTCAGATCTAATTACCCAACTTGCCCAAACTCCTCTCCATTTCCCCTCCCCCTTCTCCCTTCCCACTGCGGTCCACTGGGCAAGTCTCCCACTGCCTCGCACCTGGACCCCTGCAAGAGCCTTGTGACTGTCACCTAGTCTGCAGCCCACCCGAGTCAGCGTCCTAAGAATCTCCTTGTCCCTTCTTTCTCTGTAGCTTCATTTACTCATTCTTTTTCTCCATTTCTAAACCAGGTGGAGTTGCTTTATCAGGGATTAGACAGCCACAGACGCCAGCCTCTGAGGTGCCTTTCTGGGCGGCAGGCTCGAATCAGCTGACAAATGCCCGGGTGTCTACCAAGGCAGGGAGAGAGGGCACTTGATGAGGCGGTGACAGTCAGTCAAGGCCACGATCCGTGGGAAGCTGGCCTCGCTGTCTCGTGTGGCATTAATGCGCTAGGTAGTGTCCTTTAAGTCAAGAGCAATCCTCCCCTTCAGACATGCGTTCTCTCTAAAGACAGGTGACCAGACTCACTGAACTTGGCATTCTCCGTATCCTTAAAGGGGAAAATCAACCCACAAGGTGTGTTTGGAAGAGCAGAGACAGATGCTCTCTGGATCCGGAGAAGAGCTGCCCACTTGGACAGCACTATCGGGGGACCCACGGAGGGGACTCCTTCCCACCCAGATGCTGTTACAAGGTCCTGCAATGCTTCTATGTCCACATGGGACATGCTGGTCTATGAACTGTGCCTCACCCAGACCTCTGTCAGGCACAGCAGGACACAGAAGTGTGGTGGCCCACACCCAAAACGAACGTGCATACAAACATGGCGACATATCGTCCCCCACGTTACAGGGACCCACACCTAGATTTATCATCATCGCCTTCAAAAATACCTGTGACGGGAGAAGGAGCACAATTGTTACTACCCCTTAATACGTGTTCTTTAAAGACTGTCAGCTCTGCACACTGACGTCTAGTATTTTCATTTTCTTTGTTAAAAAAAAAAATGTTTGAAACACTATAGGTAACACAAGAAAGGGCTGAACGTTAACAGGCCCCAGTTCTGCAAAACAGGAGGTGCTGAGAACCAGGGGCTGGTAGGTCTGGAAAGCTCTCCCAACGGCTGCCACCCGCCCAGGGCCCAGGGCTATCACATCATTTTTTAACTAATACTTTTACTTGGAGGATTAATAGAAGTGTATTGTAGACAATGAGGAAATGTACTTAAACCTAAAAAAAAAAAAGATATCACCCATACTTTTAAGTTTCATACTTACTATAATACACTAAAAATATGAACAGTATTTTTAATTAGATTGGTAACATCACTGATGGTAACTCCCATTATCAAGTACTTACTGTGGATTCAGCACTCTGCATAGTGGATGACATACAAGTAAATAACATAACATAGCACTGTATAAGGTAGAGATTTTTCCCACTTAAGAGATGAGGAAACCGAGGCTCAGAGATTAAGCAGACTGCCCAGGTCACACGGCAAACAGCAGAGTCAGAATTAAAAACCTCTAAGTTCACAACCCATGCTCCTGTCTTCCCCGCAAGCTGCCTCTTCTGCTAATTCCAAAGTGTGTCACTAATAATGCTGGAGGGTGGAGGACTTTCTGTTCATTTCTCATTTTTTCAAAATCTATTTTAATATTTCTAGTTTTTAAAGTATGGGATATACTGGACTGAATGTGCCTTTCGCCATGAGCTGAAGTTTCAAAATATTGTGAAACACTGGTAGGAATTTTTTACGAAGAAATCCTTCTAAGATGCTTCCCCCAAATCCTCACCTGTGCCCGTGTTCAATCATTTCAACCCAAAATTCTCTTATCTCAAACTCGAGAAAAGATACCAAACTGTTGAGATAACGTCTGTTACAAAATTTAATTGCTAATCTTACCTTTGAAACTACCTAAAGTGGCACACCTTGTGGACTAAACTTTAATTAAATGGCAACTTACTGAACGAATTTAAACAAAGACCTCATCATACTGCCTCATTGCTCTTTCACATGCATTACAAGGCTGAGAGCGGCTAACTCTCATAAGTCTAGCTCCAAGTCCACACCAAAACTTGGTCTCTGAAGTGAGAACTCCTAGAAGTTTAACTGTCTATATAGGCTATAGAACAACATGTAGTTTTATTTTAGTTACAGTAAATCCAAAATGTATTAAGAGTGCTACTGAAAAGTCACTGCTGGTTTTTGGGGTTTTTGTCTGTTTGGTTGGTTTTTGGTTTGTTTTGCCCTGCAGTCTCACAACACCAGCCCCACCGAATCACAACAGGCCAAGGGCATCAGAGAGAGTCAAAGGATCCCAGGCAAGGCTGACATCCAGACCCCCGTCCTTCAGTTCAACTTGGGAGGCACTCTCACATTTCAGGAGGACGGGAGGCCCCTGAGGGGAGCAGCAGGCCACCCTATTTCTTCATCGAGACGGACAGCCAGCAAACTGACAGTGGGCGGGATCGGAAGACTCACATGGCCTCCGAAAAGCTTTTCTGGAGCCCCAGCAGGCTTCAAAGAGGTGCAATGCAGGCGCCAGCATCAAAATCAAGCAAGCTGAACTGGCCAAGGAATTGGTTCAAGTTTCACTGGTTTGTTTGTTTGCTGGTTTTCGTTTTTGTTTATTTAAAACTTACAACAAGCTCCTTAAACAGTGCTAACACAGAGAACTTCCCACACTTGGAGGTCAGCTGCTACCATCAGTCAGTAACTGTGAAGGCCCTGCATGGTCTCCTACCAGCGCGCTAGGCACGACTTGTACAAGCACCTCCTGTTTATTTTATATATATATATATTTTTTTTTATTGAAGTATAGTCAGTTTACAATGTTGTGTCAATCTCTGGTGTACAGCACAATGCTTCAGTCATACATGAATAAACATATATTCATTGTCATATTTTTTTCACCGTAAGTTACTACAAGATATTATAGTTTCCTGTGCTATACAGTATGAACTTGTTGTTTATCTATTTTATATATATTAGTTAGTAGCTGCAAATCTCGAACTCCCAATTTATCCCTTCCCACCCCTTCCTCTCCTGGCAACCATAAGTTTGTTTTCTATGTCTGTGAGTTTGTTTCTGTTTTACAAATAAGTTCGTTTGTCTTTTTTTTTAGATTCCACATATAAGTGATCTCGTATGAAATACCTCCTGCTTATTGAGGCACCTTCCCAGACGGGACACCTCTGCCCTGACAGCATCTTACCATGCAGTTCATGGCGAAGTGGTTGTGCTGCGTCTGAAGCTCCATCGCGTGAGGATGGCTGGTCCCAATCTCAGTGTAGCTGTTCAGAAACAGGCCCTTGTTGTGTGTGATCCAGTCAAACATCTACCGGAATGAAAACAGACAACCTGGAATCACTCCAGAAGGAGAAATGACTGACACAGACCTGGGAACAGGACCAGGCCAGGAAAGGGCCGCGTCCTTCCTCTGACAACCTCTCAGGTGTTGGGGCCCAGAAGGTTCTTGACTTCTAGGAAGTCAGCAGTTCTGAACTTACAGGATCCACAAGAAAATCTCATCTAATGTGCTCCTTTGACAGATGAGGAACTAAGGAGCAGGTACGTAAAGAGAGGTATTCAAACCCTGCAGGCTAATTAAAACTCTAATCTTCTGACTCTCAGCCTGGCCTCTCTGCTATACTGAACTACCGAATTGGCCACACTGCTCTTCAATTAAAGACCCGTGAGGTGAAATAAGGGACTTACAGGTCTCACTGGATGGGTTCTGCTTTGCCCAAAGATTATTGCCAACAATTCTAATCACTAAAAGATTACACTCTTTAGTGCAAGAAGTATTTAAAAAAAAAAGTGCACATGCAAATAATAAAATTTATCGTAAAAGTAAAAAGAATTGGGTAAAAATTTAACAATGACATCTCTCTTAAGAGTCAATACAGATGCTCCCTGGAAAAGGATGCTAACTACACCGTTCCAGGAAGATATTTAAGGAAAAAGAAAAGACAGCCAATTAGCACTGTTACCGTGATGTGAACCAGAATCCCAGAGACAGTCACCTGCTTGTCTGGCAGCTGAAAGGAAGACTTCCCAGTGTCTCTGACAAGCCACTACACCTGAACCTTGAACAACACTGGTTTGAACTGCATGGGTCCACTTAAATGCAGATGTTTTTCAATAAATTTATTACCCACATTTTCATTTTACACATCTTTAAATTAACTAAGTGTGAGGAAAAGTTGTGTTCAACTAGAGATCACAACATACAGAAATCAGAAGAACTAGGGTTGGAGTCCTGACTCTATTTCAGCTTCCTGCCCTTGGGTGAGCCATTTATCAGCTCCTTGGTTTCTGAGGCAGAGACAGCAAGCAGTACCAGGATTTCCTACCAGTACATGCGAGTGTCAGCGCCCCAACCCACGTGGTTCAAGGATCACCTGCACTTTGAACATAAATACACTGACAGAGAGGTTAAAAGCTTACCAAATAACAGTACTGAACTGTCACCTTTCAAAAGGTCCTTCTGTATCAAAGATTTTTAATGTAGTTTTTTTTAACTTTATTCTACAAAATATTTTCCTGTCCATGAAAAAAATTCAGTGAGCTCAAGTTAAGAGGGATGAATTCGCCCAGGTGCATGGCTTGCAACACCCTCCTCTAGCAAGCGCCTGCTCCCACACCTGCTGAGACGCAGCCAGTAACTCACAAGACTCACTCTGATCAGTTGGTTTGTCTGGAGCACAAACATGAAACCACGAGTAATCACTGCCTGTATTTTCCAAAAGCTATTCTTTTTAATGCATTATTCAGCTTTTATTTTAAAAACAGACTCAAGGGGGTAGGGTATAGCTCAGTGGTAGAGCATGTGCCTTGCATGCATGAGGTCCTGGGTTCAATCCCCAATACCTCCCTTAAAAAGTATAAATAAATAAATAAATAAACTTAATTTCCTCCCCCCACAAAAAAAACCTAAAAATAAATAAATAAACAAATAAATAGATAAAAACGTACTCAATAAAAGATCTAAACAGTGTTTTCTCACCAGTTTTTATGAGTTAAAGAGCAGTTATCAGAAAAATACTAACATACATAATCGTCACTTTCAATACTATCTCTTACAGAATTTTCATTCTTTTAACTGAAGGTATCATTCTCATCTATCTCACAGGCATTCTCAACCAAACTATCAGTAATTAATAACTCGAAGTTTCCAGAAGATCACTGCACTGCACAGTGAGTAAAACCGGAAAGCAGACAGAGGGGAGACCTCTGAGCCGACACTGCTGGTCTCTAGCCAGTGCCAGGGGAGAAGCTCGCCCTCCCCCAGTCCTGTTTCTCTGTCCTCTCTCTGGACCCAACCAGCCTTGGTGCTGGGACCCTGTGATCCAGGAAGACTCCCTCCCCTGTCTCCTCTCGGCAGCCCTCCCCCATGTTTTACCTTCTCAGCATCCTGTTCGAACAGCCTGAGCTGAAAGCACTGGTCAAGCTTCAGCTTCCTCACATGCCACATCTGATGCAGGTGCTGGCGCGTCGAGTGCAGCCTGTCCAGCATGGCGGACACCTTGGGCAAGAGGCTCTGCAGGTCTGCATTGCCCGACCCCGAGTTCTTTTTGGGAAAGCTGTCACTGCTCTGAATCCTCTGCAGCAGCTTCTGTCCCTCTAAATCCAAGTCCTCAATGGGGGCCTTGATCACCTTCTTCTTCAGCTGGGAATGTTCCTCGATCATATTCCGAGCCCCCTCCAAATCCTGAGGCAGCTCCTTCTTAGCGAGGATGTCCTGAAGTTCCTCCAGTCGAGAGAGCATGTGGGTTGCATTGCTAATGTAGTCTTCAAAAGCAACTCTGATTTCGATCCATTCTTCATGGTTGTATTCCAGGCAGCCATCAAACTCGGGAGTGAGCTGAGAAGGATCAACTACTTTGGTAAGGCCTTCTAAAGAGACCATATTTGTCTTAAGGGAAAAAAAATCACGTATGAGAAGATGAACCAATTTTAAACAATCTTATGATAATGCAGTCTGCAAAGCTTAAGCACAGATCTTCAAACTTATAACTTAAAATCCATTTATAAAAAACATAACATATCTTGCTCTGGCCCCATAAAAACAAAAGTAAGTGAAAGAAGCATTAGTGCAGTCAGGGAAGGATAAATCCCTTAGAGCAACACGTGTATGCTAGTTGCAGTAACTGAGATTATAGACCCATGTGCATTTAATGAGAGCTAAAGAACTTAGTTTTCTTTCCAAGAATGTGGAAATTAACCCACTATTGTAGGCACATTAGAATATGAATGGCTTTTTAAAAATTTAGAAAATACACTAGGGTTAGCAAGAAAGCTGGCAGAAGCTCTTTTCACAAAGTTGGAGAGGGGGAGGTTGCATCCACTGCAGTAACCTACAGCGATTCTGAGCAGCACGCGTGCCCTGCAGCGTCTGCACTGCATCCCAACCTGACAGCGACAAAGTTCTGCAGCGACAGCCTAAGCAAGAAATCCTAATCTCATCCTTCCAGAAGGTGATGCAGGGCTAGTATTACTCTTAGGACTCAAGGGAAACAGAAGGGGGTGGTGTTAAATATGAAGACAGAGGTAAAGGGGAAAGATGTGTGGCCTAGAACTAAAAGAAAAACCGCAGAAAGGCTGGTCTGGCCCCACTTCTGTTACCTCCAGCCTTACAGAAACCCAGAACTGCATCTCTGTGCTGTCTGGCATAAGAAACGGCAAAAGGCAGCAGAGCTAGAAAGAGGGGCTGTTCCTAGTCAGCAGTTCTGCCTAAAATGTGACTGCAGGTTCATTCCTGCCTCATGTGCCCAGATTTTCGTAATGTCCAGTGAGGCAACCGCCTCACAGAGAGAAGCTGGTAATGATGTAGAGACAAGTTCAACAGAAACCCCAGTGCAGGTGGCTTTAAGGCTCAGAGGGAGAGCACAATCAGACTAGCAAAAAACTAGCAAAAACGCATACATTATGTCACCAAACCATTACTTCTGCTTACAATATGTAATTAAACGTGTAATTGAATCAACACACTTCATATTCTGCAACAAGAAAATAGCTAACCCCCCATAAACTGTCCTTCAAAATCACTTATTGTGTATACAGTTAAGGCTTATTGGTTTCACCTTTCACCTAAACCTCACGTGTCGTTTCAAATTCAAATTCAAACTAAATTCAGATTTCAGGTTGAAAATCAGTACCATGGAACAAGACTTTAAAATGCAAGTAATATACTTGTGAAAAGACTTTGAAAAGTGTAACGTGTAACATAAAGTTTAAGAAATTTTACTACTGTGTGACATGTTTAATACTATTATTATTCTTTACCTTCAAATACATGACTACATTCACTGAAACCTAGTATTTGGGCAAAGTGACTAGAAGAAGCAATCTATTCAACTAAAAATTATTGTAAGTCATTATTAGAAAATATGTAAATGTTATGACAGAATATGGCATGAATCAAGTTTCCAGCTGGCCAGAGGACTTTCTTCCCTTAATCAGCTCCTGAAACTAACTGCATCAAGCCTTGTCAGAACCCTGGGAGAAGGAGGACGGGAGGTTCTAGCGGAAAGGAGAGGAAGTCAGTGGGCTGAGGGTCGTTTTATACACTATCTGAAAGACAGCAACCTTGTGTGTCAACTGAATCCAGGACTCTGCAGAGGTTTTACAGCAAGTTCTCCCTTGTCATGAATGAGAGATCTGAGCCGTGAAACGCATGGCAGCTCATCCTCGCCAGTATCAAGGACAGGATGAAAAGTCACTCTCTTCCACACATCTTCCTCAGGAAGTCTGAAGTGGGGCATTTCTCCCTAACATTCCCTTACTTCCAAGACTGAGGTAACCGCGATGACTCTGAAGCCACGTAAAGCCACATGCGCTATTCTATCACGCGAAGTGACAGGCAACAGACTTCTCTCCCTAAGACGCGTGCCTTATACCTCAGCAGCCCCACCTCCCAGAGATAGAGCTGGAACCAAAACCCACTGTGGGCAAAACACCCACAGGGAGAAGGCGGTCAGCAAAGCCAACTCTGTTAGTTTGCACAACTAATTTGACGTGTCGTATGTACGGAAGCTGGGCAGTTCCTGCTGAGTACGTGGTTTTTAAAAATCTATTACAGCCCAAAATGATGAGAACAGGGTCAACATTTAATAAGGCACACCTACTGGTTTAGTTGGTCTGCCTACCCAGGAAAGTTACCTCAAATTCAAATTTAGAACTGCCAAAATTAGTCCTCTGTTTCTGCCAAAAGTTGTCTGGCTTGATTATCAGTGCAACGTGAATGCAGCAGGGGAAGGACTCTTGTAAAATCTTCAGCAGAGGCTTGATGGAGTCCCACTTGGACCCACGCATGTCCACAATCACCGTGAATCCTCGCTTGCACACTTCTTCACTAGAGAAAAAGGAAAAACAGGTTTGAACCATGCAATCTCTTGCCATTTTTTTACGGTTGGAGTCCTGCTGGGCGAGGCTGACTCTGCTTCCATCATCCTGCTGTCCCTGGGGACCTCCCTCCCTCCATCCACTGCGTGGCTGATGGGCACTCGTGCAGAAGGAGCTGGAGGACGCAGAATCATTACAGGAAGAGCTCAGGTCTCATCAAAAAATGGAACTCTTTCTCACTCTCCCCAGTACCTTGACAGGATAGACTGACTATACATGCACAAGGTTCAACCTCGAAAACCTTTAACTTTTTTCTGCGGCTACGATTTTACATCTTCATCTTCTCTTTAGAGAAAAGCAATGACCATCCTTGTTCATTTCTCTGGTCTTTTGTGCATTAACTGGTCACACACACTGTCTAATAACTATTAGGACAAACATCTTTGGTGAGCACTAAATGGGGAGAGACCCCAACGGCCCCCACAGAGCCCAGGGAAAGGAGAGGGGCAGTCACTGGGACTCCAGAATCACAAGCCGAATCCACCCCCACCGGCCTGCTGGCGAGAGTGGGAGCTTCTGAATGTCCCGTTTTATTCCCTTAGACTAACAGTCCCAGCTCCTGAGCTATCTCAGGGACTCTCCAATGTGGTGCACCGGCCCATGGAGCGCCTTGGCACTCTGCCGGCGGGGTCTGGGGGTAAGTCTATCTTCACAGTAACACTGAGACTTATTTGCCTTTTTCAGCCAGTTGCACTGAGGGTGCAGAGGCCATGGTGGACACTGTTGGCCCTTAGCACTGGTCAAGGCAGTGCTAGGGGTCACTGTATTCTTCCTCTCCACATTCTAGCTGTCGAAACAAACAAAAGAGCCGGTTTCTCTTAAGAATGTCCTTGATGGAGAAATAAAAATAATTAACTTTATAAAATCTCAACCTCCAAGTCCACAGGAAATATATATAAAGTACTTCTGCGATAAAGAAAAACCGAGAGTAAAAGTGCCCATAAACATGGGTTAAAAATCCACAGTCTTCCCTCACACCATACACAAAAATAAACTCAAAATGGTTTAAAGACCTAAATGTAAGACATGATACCATAAAACTCCTAGAAGAGAACACAGGCAGAACATCTTCCGACACAAATTGTAGTAGTATTTTCTTAGTTCAGTCTCCCAAGACAAAAGAAACAAAAGCAAAAATAAACAAGTGGGACCTAATTAAACTTACAAGCTTTTGCACAACAAAGAAAACCATAAATGAAACAAAAAGCCCACCTATGGAATGGAAGAAAATATTTGCAAATGATGAGACCAACAAGGGGCGAACATCCAAAATACACAAACAGCTCATACAACTCAATAAAAAAAATCCAATTAAAAAAATTAAACAGACATCTCTCCCAAGAAGATACACAGATGGCCAACAGGCATGTGAAAAGATGCCCAACCCCGCTCATTATTAGAGGAAAGCAAATCAAAACCACACCGAGTGAGCTATCACCTCGAACCGGTCAGAATGGCCACCATCAGAAAGTTCACAAATAATCAATGCCGGAGAGGGTGTGGAGAGGGAACCCTCGTACACTGTCGGTAGGAATGCAAACTGGAGTAGTCACTATGAAGAACAGTATGGAAGTTCCTTTAAACAAACTAAAAATACAGCTACCATATGATCCAGCAATCCCATTCCTAAGCATATATCTGGAGAAAACGAAAATTCTAATTTGAAAAGATACCTGCTCCCCAATGTTCACAGCAGCACTGTTTACAACAATAGCCCAGACATGGAGACAGCCCAAGTGCCCATCAGCAAACAACTGGGTTAAAAAGATGTGATATATATACACAACGGAATATTACTCAGCTGTAAAAATAAAGAAATATCACTGTTTGCAGCAACATGGATGGACCTAGAGAATATCATACTAAGTGGAGTAAATCAGAGAAAGACAAACATCATAGGATATCAACTTACATGTGGAATCTAAAAAGTAATACAAATGAATCTATATACAAAATCAGAAACAGACTCAGACATAGAAAACTAACTTCTGGTTACAAAAGGGAAAAGGTGGGGAGGGATCTATTAGGAGTCTGAGATTAACAGATACACATTACTATAAATAAAATTGATAAGCAACAAGGATTTACTGTATGGCACATGAATTACATTCAATATTGTATAATAACCTACAATGGAAAATAATCTGAAAATATATATATATATATCTGAATCACTTTGCTGTACATCTAAAACTAACACAACATTGTAAATCAATTACACTTCCAAAATTTCTCATTAAAAAAAATTTCAAATGAGTCCTTGTAGACACGAAAAAAAATAAGTCTCCCCTAAATTTTAGCCAAAATTAAAAGCAATTTCACGCTCTCTTGCATGAGCTTGCTCCTCCGCCCTCTCCAATCCCACACTGCACACACACCATTCTTTTCCTTATCTTGATTCATACATATATCATCACAGTAACTGACGTTCCAAGTTCCTATAAGAATTACACCAGTGTAGGAGGCATGTCACAAAAATATTCCAAAAAAGTCTGTGAGGACAGAACCTGAGTAGATGGCAGCTCGCAGTCCTGACAACACGGTGTTGAAGTCCCGAGTTAAAAACAGGACGATCCAACAGCCTGGCTTCTCCCTCCAACGTGGAAAGCTGCCATGTGCTTCACTTCTGTTAACCACTCCTACGTGAATGTGAACTCACAAAGAGTTACACCTGGCTCCACACTCCTCATGCTGTCGCCTCTCTTGCCTCCAGGAGGGCCTGGGCCATGACCCAGGGAACATCTCGGGCCTCCTTCACAAATCCTTAGACACAGCTGGGGCACTCCCAGAGACACTTCCTGCAATCGCCTCAGTCACTGAAAGTAAGCATTCTGGACTTCCTGAGGCTCTGGTGGAGTTTACAATCCCACAAGAGTCCACTCAGTAAATTTCTGGGCTGCTGAGGTCCTCGGGGCTAGCCCAGCCTGACCAGGAGGGCATCTGCTGCTCAGCCAGGGCACTCTCTCTTCATTTATTTTTCAGTTGAATATAGTTGATTTACAATGCTGTGTGAGTCTCTGGTGTACAGCGTAGTGATTCAGTTATATGTATGTATATATTCTTTTTAATTACAGTTTATTACAAGCTATTGAATATAGCTCCCTGTGCTATACAGTAGGACCTTACTGTTTATCTATTCTGTACATAGTAGTTTATTATCTGCTAATCCCAAATTCCTAATTTATCCCCCCTCCTTTCCCCTTTGGTAATTATAAGTCAGTTTTCTGTCCGGGAGTCTGTTTCTGTTGTGTAAATAAGTTCATTTGTGTCTTTTTTTTTAAGATTCCACATATAAGTGATACCATGTATTTGTCTTTCTCTGTCTGACTTACTTCCCTTAGTATGACAATCTCCAGGTGCACCCATGTTGCTGCAAATGGCATGATTTCATTCTTTTTTATGCCAGCCGAGACATTCTGCTCCAGACCGGCGCATTCGGCTGCTACCCACCAGGCAGGAGACTGTCAAGCCGCAGCAACGGGCTGCACTGGTTGCTGTCTGGGAGACTGCACAGGTCTTCATCATATCAAGGGAAATTCTCCAGGCCTGTCTTTCTCCTCACACAGCCCTGCACAGTGTATGCATAAAACTGCAAAGCCCCTCCACTGGACAGGGTTGCTTAAAAGGAACCCTGGGTAACTCCAGGCTTAACAGGAGGAACAAGGTGGGGAAAGACACAAGCACACAGTGCCCGGAGCTTGCACCGTTTACAGAAAGATTAACTCTTCACCTGCCTCCAGGATCCAATTTTTACCACCCAGTGACCTCCAAGTAACACGAACAGCACACCAGCCGGGATGGGAGTGCACGTCCTTTCAACCCGCCTGTCTTTATCCAGTTAAAAGCCAGGCATCATTAAGAAAGCAGTGATTTGCAAACATTCCCAAATCCAGTTCATCTTTTTTGATGAACATACGGCTGCCAGCAGAAGCTCAGAGCCCTGCCACCTCCTTCAAGACAGTGCTCACTGGCCAAGTGTGACGTACTAACTGGGTATGTTAGCAGTTCTATCCAAGAGCTTCATTTTAGCTGTTAATTTTTTTTAATTATATAAAACTAAGGTCTTTTTTCCATACAGGTCCCTAAAAAAGATAAACTCTCCTTTCCCCGGTTCCTCAATGAAGAAAGTAACTTTTAATATGAAAGTTCATGAATGAATCAATTCAAAGGTTCACATATTTCATCTGACAAAGGAGAGTCAGCGGTTCATCCATCTAGCTACTACAAAACATTCTAAAGAAGACAGAATGTTCTACGAGATAATTCGTATCATTCGAGCAATAAGAGCAATAAACACCTAGAGAGGTACCACGACTAATGTGATTGTCATCTCTGTGCAGGAATCCCAATTAGACCAGCGAGAAGTGCTGCTGTGACTTTCTGGACACACATTTAGTGGGAAGTTTCCCTGCACGTGAATCGTATGAAAATCAGTCTATTACTCAAATTGTTTTCTTTCAAAGGAAGAGAGAGGGGAAAGGAAAGTGGCCCAAATAACAATACTCACACTGGTCACCACTGTGCCCATCACACTAAAGTCTAACCTGCAGGGCCACATGTTAAGAGGCAATCAGGAGGCCACACAGAAGAAAACAGACACGACGACCTGGCTCGAGGACACATGGCAACAGGACAACAGCTGAAGGAAAGCTAGGAGTGAGCGGGAACGAGGGACATGACCGCGCAACTTTTGTGGCAGCTGCTGTGAGTCAGACGCTGTGCTGGGCGTGAGCATAAATCATCTTCCTTAACACAATGAGCCGAGACGTACACATTACTAGCACAGTTCGAAGATCAGAAAAGTCATAAAATGAAGTACCCAGGTCGGCCCGTCTGACTCTGCCCCCCAACACCTGCCCGGCTGCACACTTCACATCCAGGAACGTGCAGCCCTGCGGCTGCCTGGCTGAGGGACAGCCCGAGAGCCACCTTCTCGTCACAGAAAACGTCAGGAGTAGGGGACGGGGAAAGGGGTCCCACAGCCCACCCTCCCCGCCAGGACTGTTCACATCACTCTGAAACTCTAACAATAAATAATCAGACTCAGAAAGTAAGTCCCCCCATGTTCACACCACTGATCTGCTGGTGCTGTTAACTGATCCCACTGTTTGGCTAAAACCAGACTGCTCCCACCTCTGCGCTCCCAGGAGGCGGCCAGGCTCTGTCAGTCCCTGCAGGACCTGGGTGGACCCGGGAGGACTCTTTTTGCTGCCACTTCTATTTGGACCACTGTGAAATCTTCCTCCAATATCACGTGGCAGCTGCATTGTTTACATATTAATCCCCCCTCTCTCATTTGCTCATTAACCAAGGAAGAGAAAATGGCACTTCCTGTCACTTGAAATTGTAAATACAAAAGTCAATCCAGGCAATGAAATGAAGTGGTGTGCTCAGCAGCTGGAGGGTCACTCTACACACTGAAGTACTTATGAGAGACATGATGGGATGTTTGGGATTTGCTATAATTTCTGGAGAAAAGTAGACCAGGTTGGCAAAATGGGATCATCACTGGAGCTGGCTGACCGGCACGTGGGTGTGTGGTCCCCGGAGCCTCACAGCTCTGAGTACACCCACACTTCCCATGACAAAGTTGTGTGTTTCTCAAGTGGGCCATCCAGATGATCCAAAATACATCTGAGCCCATTTTTTTAAATAATATCAATGAAAGGGCAAGTAATTTTTTTATATTAACAATCTATACGGATTTCCAAACCGAAAGGCAAGTTGCCAAAGTTACATACAGAATTCCAACTAAATGTTTTTGAAAAGATTACCCAGATGAAATTCGACTTGTTTTTCATTAAACTATATGACAAGCACCATTTTGGTTGGCAGAGATTTATTTACTTTTTACACCGTCCTTTGGATTTCTCTGTTTCTTTTTCTAGCATCAGCATCGCACCTGGTACATACTAAGAACTCAGTAAGCTGTGGCTACCAGCTATCTTGTCTCTTATAAATGACAGTGAGTAGCAAAGAACCTCTAAAACTCTTTCCACCTCTATGATTTCATAGTTCAAGTCCAAGAAAATACCAGAGTAAGAGGAAATGGGAAACTTTTCCAAGCAGAGGCCCATTGCTCTGCCACCAATGACACAATGTGACAGTCTTCCCACAAAGGATACCCAACAGAAAAACCCAAGCACTTCCTCTGAAGGTCAGACCATCCATGCCAAAGCTGACTTTCTTCCGTCACGGCCGGGAGGGGTCACCAGAGGGCAACACTGTTCCCTGGCTGGTGTCAGGGGTGCCACCAACCATGTGCTGTGGGGGATCGGTGACATCTGCCTCAATCTTTAGGATCCATTATGCTGCTGCTGACCACCTTCTATTATCTCTTGCACAACATACTGCTCACAGTTACTCTGTGGCCTGTATTATGACCGAGTTTCCTTCTACACATCCTCATTCAGTCTCCAAGGAACTCCCTTGTCACCCTCCCACGTCACTCATGCACGCCTTTCTAGAGTGAGGATGACCTTTTCCACCCTCCAGCCCCCAGCACACAGCAATCTCTTATTCCAGGCTGGCTCTACTCTTGGATTATGTGGAGCAATATTCTATTCGCCAAAAAATAATCTTAATAATTAATGGGGGGTGGTTCCTCCACCAGCTGTCCGCTAGCTGCATAAGTCAAACC